CTAAACAAGAGGCAGAAAGGGATTCACTTTTTTGGGCCAAGCTGTAACTTTAGTGTGTTTTCTTTCTTTTCTCTTTCTTTTTTCCTTTTCTTGAGGTTCTTTGTTGCTCTTGGAAGATAAGCGTGTTTGTCTTCCTTTTGTAAATCTTCTATTGATGAATTAATGAAAGTGTTATTGATCAAAAAAAAAATGAGGAAAAATCAACTGTTGAGCAGTTGGCTGCAATGAAGTTAGACTTTGAGAAGTATGGGAGGCTCCTAAATCACTTGGAAGCTACAGTTTCTTCAGCCCACCCTTCCAACAGTACATCCTCTTCATCGGCTTTTGCTCACTCAGGAACATATGCCTCGGCAAATCATGCTTCAGTCTCAGGTAATCATAAAATCCCTTGGATTATAGATTCCGGTGCATCAGACCATATGACCAGCCTATCTAACCTTTTTTTTCATATCATCTCCTCTCTGGGAAAGAGAAAATATCCCTTGTCGATGGGTCACTTGCTCCCATCTCTGGTAAAGGAGATATAAAGACCTCTGACACCCTGTTCTTATCTTCTGTTCTCCATGTTCCTAAGCTTAACACAAACCTTTTATCTGTTAGTAGCTTAACAAAGTCCATGAACTGCAGCATAACCTTCTTTCCCACTCATTATGTTTTCCAGGACCTGCAGTCTCAAAGGACGATTGGGAGTGGCCATGACGCGAACGGGATATACCTGTTGGACACACCAGATCAAGCCTTTGGACCACCTCATGGAGTTGCTTTCGAGTCAGTTGTGTCCGAGTCTGTTAACAAAGTTTTGTTATGTCATTTTCGGTTCGGTCATTTGCCTTTTTCTACTTTAAGTCATCTGTTCCCAGGTATGTTTAAAGGACTGTCTTTATCTAGTCTTCATTGTGAGTCATGTGAGCTAGCAAAGCATTGTAGACATTCCTATTCAATCAGTAATAAAAGATCCCTTTCTCCTTTCCATATTGTTCACTCTGATGTGTGGGGGGCATATCACATGTCAACCATGGGGGGCTACAGGTATTTTATCCTTTTTATTGATGATTATTCTCGTTATACTTGGGTTTATCTCATGAAATCTCGGGATGAAGTACCCACTATTGTGAAAAATTTTCATGAACTCATCCTCACCCAGTTTAATACTCGTATCAAAATATTCCGTTCTGACAATGSTAAGGAGTATTTTGAGAGAACCCTCTCCACCTATCTTGAAACTTTTGGGGTTATTCATCAAAGTTCTTGTTCCTACACTCCACAACAAAACGGGGTGGCGGAAAGAAAGAACA